CAATGTTTTTCTGCTTAAATGGAGCAAGGGAGGGATTTCTCACTGGATGCAGACCTTTCATTGGTTAGTTACTTGTTTCTTTTCTTTAGTTTCATTGCTATGTACATGATTCCACCTTTGCTGTAGTTTCTTTGCTATGTACTGACTTAATTGGTTCTTTTTTTGCAAAACAGGTGTTGATGAATGCTTTATTAAGCTGACCACAGGTGCACAGATCCTTGCTGCCACTGGCGGAGATGGCAATAACAACATTTATCCAATTGCATTTGCCATTGTTGGTCAGGAGGATACAACAAATTGGTGTTGGTTTCTGCACCAACTCAAGATATGTCTAGGAGGAGAAGTTGGCCAATTTGGTCCTTATACTATCATGTCAGATAGACAGAAGGTAAGTACTTAGTTTGGTGTGTAATTTCAGTAGCATAGTTTCTTGGTTTTTTTCAACTATATCTGTAGTCAGTAGCTTAGTTTGTTGTTGTAATTTCAACAGGGGCTACTCAATGCAGTGAATAGAGTATTTCCAAACTGCCACCAGAGATATTGTCTTAGACACTTATATGCAAATTTCCAGAATGCTGGTTTTAGGGGGGAAGATCTAAAGAAATGCATGGATAATGCCAGTTATGCTTACAATGAATATAAGTTTAAGATTGCTATGAATGATTTGAGAAATGAGTGTGTGGATGCTTGGAAGTGGCTTAATGCAATTCCTAAGAATACATGGGCAAGGCATGCTTTTGACACTAACTGCAAGACAGATTTGGTTGTTAACAACCTATCTGAGGTGTTCAACAAGTATATCCTTGATTTTAGGAAAAAAACCTATTAGGACTATGGTTGATGGTATTAAGGACAAGCAAATGGTGAGGTGGCATGAGAAGAGAGAGAGAGAGGAAAGGCAGCTTTCTGGGAGATCACACCACACTATGCTGAGAAGTTAGAGCTGGAAAAAGAGAGGGCTAGATATTGCAAACCCATTCAAGCTGGTGTTAATTTATGGCAAGTGACCAGTGGGCAGCAAACACACCCTGTGAACTTGGATAATCATACATGTGGTTGCAGAAAATGGGACCTCAGTGGCCTACCATGTAACCATGCAATTTCAGCAATTAACAAGGCCAAGAGGTTTCCAGAGGACTTTGTTTGTAAATTCTTCAGAAAACCATTTTATGTGGCAACATATGAACCTATGATCTTTCCTGTTTCTGGTGAACATGACTGGATAAGGACACCTGGACCAGACATAGAGCCACCAGAATTTCATGTTAGGAGAGGAAGAAAGCAAGAGAAGAGGATGAAGGGCAAGTTTGAAGTGCCAAAGCCAAAAGACAGCAGTAGAATGGCCACAATAACATGCTCTAACTGTGGTCTCCAAGGCCATAGATACACCAACTGCCTGAAACAATTGAAACCAGATTTGGCTATGAGGAAAAACAAACATGTGGTAATACCAAATCTCACTTCTTTTTTATTTGTTGACTAGTGCATTTTAATGTTGTCTACTAATACCAATCTCACTTCTTTTTGCAAGACCAAGAGGTCACAGCAGCAACCTACACCTGCAAGATCACAGCCCCTACCTGCAAGATCACAGAATCCACCTGCAAGATCCCAGCCTGCACCAAGATCACAGCCTCCACCTGCAAGGACTGGTGCAAGATCTGGAGCAAGGTCTGGTGCAAGGACTGGTGCAAGTTCACACCCATCAACTAGTGGTGCAAGGCCATTCACTGCCCCAAGATATGCAACTCCTTCTACATCTTCTGCCCCAAGAAGTCACACTGGTTGGATGAGGTGGTTTGATCCTAGTGGTAACTGATGAGTGTGTGAAATGAGTTGTTGTTTCTCAAAACTATGGCAAGTGATCAATGTTTTGTGTCCTGAACCATGGCATGGCTGGATGCTTAGGTTTGATTGTACTGAACCAACAAGTCAAACTGGTTGGATGATTATGTTTGAGTGTACTGAATTGCTATCAACTATCTTAATGTTATGGGCAATGTTATGCTATCAATTTGGTGATTAGTGTTATTTGCAATTAGGTTATTGGCAATGCCTAACCACTTTGTTTACTTGACCACTTTGGCTCAGGGGGTTCTCGATGTCGACGGACCCTAAATACCTAACCACTTTGGTTTAGGGGGTTCTCGACGTCGACGGACCCTAAATGCCTAACCACTTTGGTTTAGGGGGTTCTCGACGTCGACGGACCCTAAATGCCTAACCACTTTGGTTTAGGGGGTTCTCGACGTCGACGGACCCTAAATGCCTAACACCATAGTGGTTCACAACAAGGTTCACAACTTACTGGTTCACAACAACAACATATTGATTAACATAGTGGTTCACAGAAACTAAGAGTTAACATAGTGGTTCACAGCAACAACATAGTGGTTCACCACAACACCATAGTGGTTCACAACAACTTAAAGCAACAACATAGTGGTTCACCACAACACCATAGTGGTTCACAACAACTTTAAGCCACAACATAGTACATAACTTAGTTCACAACAACACCATACTTCACAAAAGGTCAGCAAAGCAAGCATTCTTCTTCTTCATGTTGATCTGGATCTTGCTCTTGCTCTTCCTCTACATCTTCATTCTGACAAGATTTCCAGGATCCCCTTCAATTTCTGCTTGTTCTTCTCCTCTGACTTCAACAGTTCAGCAATCTGAATCTTTAACTGATCCCTCCTTGCTGTGAGCTTCTCATGCCCCTTCTTGAGATCACCCATGTGAAGGAGCAGCTGGGTGTTCTCCTAGGTGAGCTTTTCCTCAGACTTTTTGAGTTCATCAACCTGGAATTGCAGGTTCCTGGTGGATGTACTAAGCACTTCCTTCTCTTTTAGATGATTAAACTTCAGGTTCCTGATGCAAGTGCCTTGAGATTCTGTCAGGTTCATCAGTACTTTATACTTCTCCTGCAGCTTGAAGATCTCTGCATCTTTCTTCCCCATCTCTGTCTTCATGTCAGATACTGAATCAGAAACATGCACATTCTGCATCTTAGCCTGCAAATAGCTGAAATCTACCATCCTATCCTCTTGAGCATTGAACAGTTGGTGCACATCTTCAACCAATTTGTCATAGTTGGCCTCTAGATTATTTTTTTCTTCAGTCAACTGGTGAATAGTGAATGAACTCTCCAGGTTATCCTTCCTCCTATCACTCTTGCTGTCATGATACATTTCCCATAGCTTCAACAAGGCATTCTGCAATGTAGGAGGCCACTCTGGGTCAACCCAGAGAACAACATCACAGTTGTCATCTTCCTGCAATATAAACAACCATAGCATGAGCATCTTAAAACAATGTAGGACCCTAAATGACTAGCCACTGAATTAAAAATGAACTTTAAGCATCCTTGGGAAACAACTTTAATAATATAGCCAACTTTAATAATATAACACTAGGTGAATTTTAAGCTTCTGACATTGAATCTCTCTGACCTTAAACAATCAAATAATTTGCAAAGTGAGTACTCTTGTACTGCAAACATTTTCTAATCCACTGATTAGCACCAGTAGTACTAAATGGCTACAAAAATGACCCTCACACAGCTACAAAATGATCATCAGAGCTATGGTACAAGAGTACTCATTAAACAATGTGCATCAGCACATGGCTAGATTAAAGAACATGAATTCCATGCACTGGACTGCACAATTCTATGCACATGGCTAGATTAAACAATACCATAAACACAGAGTTTGGACAGAATCTTACACTCATAGGACAGACTAAGAACCTCCTGCCCGTGTTAAATGCTTCGAATGCTACACGCCTCTCAGCCGCCACACCATGCTGATGGCAAAGAACTCTGGATGTTGTCTCAATGCCACTGTAGTCTTCGTCTTCAATGCTAGCAGGGATCTACAGGAACAAAAGGAAAACAAAATCCCCAAATCAAATCAAATCCCCCCAAATCTGATAACCCAACCCTAACCCTAGCTCTACAACTCACCCGGTAATGCATGGCTTCGTCGTCGGAGAGGTTCATGTATTGCGCGATTGAGTCCTGGCTGCTCTCCTCCTCCATGGCGCGACGGCGAGCCGGTTGAGGTGGCGGCGGCAGCGGGCGGAGGGCGGCGGCGAATCGGAGAGAGGAGGGAGAGCGAGAGTGAGAGTGAGGTCGAGCGAGAGTGAGGCGAGTCCAACCGAGCCCATGTAACCGACCGCACCGGCCTCGTCCTAGTCAGCGCACCGGGCACGCGCCGATTCGGCCAGCGTGTCACCTGACATGTGGGCCCGACCTGTCGAATACGCGGTCAATACGCGCTTATACGGCTGTCAGTCCGCTATGCATCACTTAGGCCCTGAGTTGGTACTGAACTGCGACATGCACGAGTAGTGGTACTGATTCGTGAGTAGGTGAGTAAGTGTGGTACCAACGTGCGGAGGCGACGAGCGCGGGAGGGCGCCGGGAAGAGGACAAGGCGAATCCCCTCGCCGATACGGCCGCCCACGTCGCCGCAACGGCACGCGGATCATCATGCGCTCGTCCGTGCGTGCGTGCATGCATGCGTCCCGGCGTACGCGCCGCGGTGTCAGTCGGTCGGTCGGTCAGTTCCCCCGGTCGGTCGGCCTCTGGGCGTTGTCGCCCCGGGCGAGCGGACGGGCCGAAACGACCTGGACTGCGACAACGGAGCGGACTCGCGTTGCCGGAAAAGGGGTTGACTTGCGGCGAGGTGCTCGCGGGCGCCGATCTCTCGGCTTGGCAAAAGGGCCGTGCCGCATTTATTACCATGGGCATGGTACCGCCTTTTATTTTCTTTTCGGTACACTTCTTTTTCTTTTCTTTACCATGGCGACGGGATCCCAGACGGCCGCGGCAGTTTCGTCCTAGATTATCGAATGCGCGTGTACTAGCTAACACAGATTCATAATGCATCTCAAGTTAGCTTTCGCCCGTTTGACAAGAGGTGACGTGATAGAAGAGCTGCTTCTGCTTGCCAGTTTTTCAGGTAATCTGGAACTTATCGCACGGTAATTCCTCAGAGACCACAAAGGCGGCAGCCGGTCTTCCCTGAAGAGGTCCAGTTAATTGCGTTTTTTGTTTTCAGATGTATAACTGCTTTCTATGCAAACATACAAGAACAGAGCAGATCAGAAAACAGAAAAGAGGAGTATTGATGACGGGGTAGTGGCGAATGGAGATACCCCACATTTGGATAAGGGAAATATGCACTAGTTACAGCTTGTTACTGTCTACAATGTGATAGAACATTACAAGGATCCAGTTGTAAGTTGTAACAGGAAGCTTAATTCAGTTCATGTAAATTTTACACGACACCAGTACGAACGTAACCAGAGTATGCGATACAAAACATATGCAGGCCTTCTCAAGACACGAAGGTGCACAAAAAGCTCGCAGTACTCAAAACATGGGCTTTCAAGCACAAATTCTTAAAAATCAGCTCGCAACACATATAAATATAAATGAGATAGGGACCGTCATTTTTTGGCAACATATGGAACTCAAGACAAGCACTGCAAGTCTGTTTCGCGTATCTGTAATTTCATCATCAAATACTATCCAGTGACAACATTCCACCTAGTGGATAAAGTATACATGTTGGTGAAAAAATAAAAATGAATTCGAAAAAATATAACGAAAAGAATATGTCAGCTGGGGTAAGTACGCAACACAATTACTACGTACTCCCTCTGTAAAGAAATATAAGAGTGTTTAGATCACTATAGTAGTGATCTAAATGCTCTTATATTCTTTTACGGAGGGAGAATAACAATCATGGACTTGATGAGGCTTGAAGCCTCCAACTGGCACTTCATAGATGTGCCTTTCTTTTGTGGATAGAAGCTTCAACCAGAACCTTGCTCAGGCTTTATGCTCTCTCTCGGAGGTATCTTCAGCAAATGCTTCATTGTGTCGTATGCGGTGAAACCAATAGCCACCGAGGGTACCACCTGCAAAATTACCAGTATTTAACATGAGAAAAATTACTCATGTGAACTGCAAATTTCCTTCATGACATGAAGGAACACTCTCCAACAGGCACAAGATTTAATAATGTTGCTTATGTCCAAGGATACACCAATTATATCAAGTTAAACACAAAAGAATTTGGGGATGCCATATAAGAGCCACTGGGAAGCATCTTTGTGCTAGTTGTGGGACTATGCATGGATATGGACCTATATGTCAATGGGACATCAAGTCACAGATGCAAAAAAATAAGCTTCTATGTAATTTAAAACACAATAGAAATGCCACATTCCAGACAAGGTTACCGAGCATCAGCCAGAATAATCTACTCAACGACAACTGTTCGCTGCCAAAGGGTTCACAAGAAAGCGGTACAGATTGCTTAACGGACTGTCCGGTTTGCAGGGATTAAGGGGGATTTAGCTCAATTTCCTACCAATCCCCTTTAATCCCAGCAGATCCCTACCAAACTGAACATGCCCCAAGGGGATTCAACAAAATTGTGAGACACCTAATTTTCTTTCTTTCTATCATGTCCTGTGAATGGAAGTGTGATTCAGGCAGGCTAAAACAGCAGAACAGAGTGCAAATCCTCCTAAAATATTCAGACCATCAAGGAGTTAATATAATTGGCTGGAGCAACATAGACGTCCAAGATTGTCTAGCGTGTTCAATACTAAATGTGCACCTTTTGAAGCGCAAGTAGAAAACAAAATCGGAACTGTAAGAAAAACTTGATGCGTAATCGTCACCAGGACTACCTTGATATAATTGAGGCTCAGACCAGCAAATAATTGTCTCCATCCCTGTGTTTGTTTGATGATCTTAAGCCCCTGGAATGTACCTGTTATTCGTGGGCCACCAGACTGATCATGCTGCAGATGACTTTGAACCTAAAAAGTGGCAAATAAGAAGTGATGAACAATTGACGGGTTTGTTAAGAACATTTAAAATGATCATCTAAAAGTACGAAGTAGCATATGGAACAAATGAAGTACCTGCATTTGTCTCCTGACTACATCTAGTGGGTAGGTTAAAGTTTGTCCAAATAAACCAGCTGCGGCACCACAGGATAGTTTTAAAGTGACAGAATTTTTGTAATCTTCAGGTACGTGTGCCTTCAACCCTTCATATATGTAGAATTTAAGACCAGCATAGGGAAGTATTCCCATTAGCGTTGGACCTGAATGCAAATATTCAGATTGAGGCATCAACAGTATAACAACCACAACGAAAATAAAGGTAATAAAATTATCTAGACAAAAAATAATAAGAATATATATAGCTCACAGCAAGTATAGATGGTGTTTAAGTACTAGTGGTATAACATGGCTGTAAGACTGTATCCATACCTACTCCACGATAGAGCGCTCGCACTCCACCTTCTGAGTAAACACCTCTGAAGACATCTTTTATTCCTCCATATGATGGTGGAGCAATTGGCCTTTTCAAACCATTGCTAGGTTGATCTGTGTTATTAACCTGTAAGCAATGTAAAACAAGTTCAACACAACAGAATGAAAGTTAAAAAATAGCAATTCAAACAACACAAGGGATCTTCCTAGAATTTGGGAACATCACTACTACTAGAACCCAGAAAAAAAATTGTATTGAAGGAACAACATACTTGTTCACAAGAGATGACTGATGGACAGTTCAGAGTTTAGGCACCATTTTCTAGTGGTAATGTAATTTACTAGTTTACTAGTCCGTGAACTTGCACGGATAGGTGTTGTTATCTCACAGCAGCATAATGCAAACAGTTGAGCAGGAATACACTTTATGCAATGTACTTTACAAAAATGCTTAGGTAATCCCCTGAGCAACATAATCAGGTGTTGACCTCCTGAACCTACAAAAGTACTGCCTCAATGCTTCAGGAGAAGGCTTATAAATTTTGTCTTAAGGCAAACGGTGCAAAGTTTGAACTTGGTCAAACTTTGCACGTTTGACTCCAAACAAAATTATTAAGCCTTTTCAAGGATGGATGGAGTATGCCAAAATACAGCCTGGTGGCGGTTTAGGATGCCAGATTTGCTAAAATATGGATGTGGTTTTGTCGTGCGTGCAGCTTATATCAGCACATTCTAACAGCCCAGCAACATCCTAGTCAGTTATAGCAGATAAAAAAGGTTCCTCATTCCAACATAATGAACTGATGTTTCATCAAATACTGAAGTTCTTACAAAATTAATCATCAGACAAATATCCAGAACACTATGTAGAAAAAGGATTTTTATTTTGTTGTCATCATAGCAAAATTTGGTGACTTAAGGTACATACGTGACAAACCAACATCCATGTCAGCGAAATCACACCTCAAAGTTCCTCGATGAACCAGTTCTCTATATTCAGGGGTGTATATCTGTTTGTGCAGTACAAGGGTTGAATGGAATTTCGTGTGTCCGCGTGTGAGTGTACAAGTATGTCCAGGGAGAGGCAGGAGAGGGGGGAGGGGACAAAGTTATAGAAGCGCCTTTCACCAATTTGTTGGGTATCAGTTTCAAGATCGTTTTTGCAAACAATTTTGTTGACTGTATGATTAATTATTACCTTATCAAACCAATTTGATACTGAGTACTAAGATTGTGCTCTACAATTGAGTATGAATATGTAAGCACAGGAGTACACAGAAATACAACAACAACAAAACCTGCTAAAATGTGAGCACACAGTACAATACCTGGAATGCAAGCTTGGTCCTAGCCAAGTCCAAGGGATAAGTGCACAAGACTGCAGTCCCGCCTGATGCTGAGCCTGCTAAAAGATCTACCACAGGTCCTGTGCCAAGTGTAGGGCAGTTACCCAAGATCCAACACCTGTATCGCTCATACGCCATATAATGTAATGCAGCATAAGGAACAATTCTTAACACACTGGCACCATTTCCCCTGAAGTAGTACCAAGACATGGTTAGCTAAACATATTATATGCATCTTCTGTAATAGTAGTATACAAGTAATGACTTGAATTGCAACATACTTGTAAAATCCCAAGACACCATCATGTTTTCTCAGTTTATTCAAGGATTTCAGAACTCCGAGAGACCTGAACTCATTTGTTCTAGTCTGCAGAATCAGAAAGTAAGAATGTGTTAGCAATCATAATCATTTAGAAACTTATAACTTGAATGAGAACATCTAAACCTCCCAAAATAGTATCATGCGCAAATTAGGCACGCAAAACTAATGAAGCAGCTGGTAGCTACTGCCACATCTTGCATACACAAGACCAATGGAAACAGACACTATATCAATCCTATGGAAGTGGAACTTGGTAACCGTCACATCAACAATAGCCTTCTTTACCAAATGGCACCACAAGTTGCATGGAGAAGATCTCATAATGCTGAGAAAATCTCTCATGACCATATCCCAGCAACGCAGCCCTCCGAAAGACAGGTGGATAGCACCCATGCTTAACGGAACAACGTTAATAGACCTAGGCGTGCTTATGGTACAGAATGTAGAAGCTCCTCTAGCGCAGCCTCACATCTGTAAGTGCCAGGCGTGCCTTGTACATCGGTTTCACTAAAACAGAGCTAATGTTCTATGTCAACAGAACTGATGCACAAAGGCACACTTGCGCATCAGTTTCATTGACATGGAACTCGTGTCGAGGGACGTGCAGTCACATTCAATCACAGGCTTAGGAGAGGCGTGTCCTTCTCAATATTAAGGAGCGCGTTATCACATTCACAGGCTTCAAAATCACCTTTCGACTAACAACAATCTTGACGTTGACATATCATGCCTAAAGCCGCATACCCACGAAAACTCCATGAAGGAAATCTCTACCATCCATGTGGGCGGAGGAGCAGAACGAACCTGTAGCAATATCTTGAGGCGCTCGAGCGGCGCGATGGCGGTCTTGGAGAAAGCACCGGCGACCCCGCCGGCAATCATCTCCTTGGCGAAGACGGGCATGAGGTCGAGCGCGCAGAGGTCGACCCGGGCCGCCGCCACGGCAGCCGAGCCCTGCGAGGGGGTACCCATGCCGACGGCGCGCTCCTTTCATCCAAATCAAGCACCCCCAGCGCGAAGAATATCCTCCTGGGGCGCCGGCCCGAAGGATCCCGCCGGTCGGGTCACTTGCGCGGCGGTCCGGTCAGGCCAGCCCGGCCTTGCGGCCCACGACTCCTCCGCCGCCGCCGGATTTGACCGAGGCGACGACCTGCTTCCCACGGCCACGGGGGTCGATTTGCGGTTTGCTCTGGCTCCTTTTTTGGAGATTTATATAATAATAAAAATGAATGTTGAGGATGGAGGGGGGGATGTGCAGGGCGTGGCGTGGTGGCGGTGGCCGAAGGGGCGATGAGTAATATGCGGGAGAATCTTCGCGGCCAAACCTTAAATATCAACGCCGGTTGCCAGGAAAGCAGGTTTGCTGCTTTGGTTCGCGTGTGGCGCCCTACTACCCGTGCGTGGAAATGTCTGGCGAGTCTTGTTCCGAAACGTGCAGTCCAAGGAGTCGTACACGCGAAGAGTCCAAATTGCACTTCTCCTTTTTGAGAATCCGTCTATGGTTCGGTGGAAACATATCCGATTGGGAAAATATAAATACGGAAACCAACATTTGCTAGAAACCCATAAAAAAAGTTTCAAACATGTTACGGGATGTGAGTTATAAAAAAGACGAAATCAGCATTGAAAAATGTCATACAGTAACATCACTATTCATTGCTGAATTTATCTTTTTCGTAGCTCGCATCCGTAATGTGTTTTCACTTAAAATTTCACATGACAATATAACACCATCCTCTTAACATCCCATATTTTTCGAAAAAAATTAAAACTTTCAAACATGGTTTTCACAAAGTTTTCATTGGATGTTGGTTCCCGTATGATATTCTCTCTATCCGATTGTACAGTGAAAAACGGATATTTTCAAACAATACTTTTAATAATTTTGAAAAATAATACATCGTTTTCAAATGTTACGAAAATAATACAACGTCGAATTAGGTTGAGCCGACTAGATCTGGTTGGCCATGGCGTAGCCGATTAGAATCCAGTTGGCTTAACCTAAGCCGACTAGGATCCCCTCGTCCATGCGGCAGCCGATAGGGCCCGCTCGTCCACGCGGCAGCCGACCAGTGGCTGGACCACGTCACTCGGCCTAGCTGGCCACTAGTCGGCCACGCCTTAGATGATAGCCCAATCGACTTCGGCTTAGTCGAAACGTGGCCACTTAGCCATCGGGTCGGCCCTCTTTCTCTCTTCTTCCTCCTCTCTTCCTCCTGTCTTTTTCTCCTCTCAATAACCGAAGCGCCTCAATTTAATACTTCTTTGTGAGTCGATTGTTTGCCCGATTTCCATCGTAGTTCCAGTCTAGAGGATTGGGGGAGGCAAGGGAAACCTCGATCTCGTGATTGGATAGCTCATGGTGGTCTTGGTGATGGTTTTTGTGGAGGTGGTTGTGGTGCTCCAGTGACTCCATGGTGGTAGTGGTGGTGGTATGGTGGTGCTCCGGTGAGAGAAGTCTGTCGGACCCGTGGGATTGGGGGTACCCAGGCCCGTCTACCTGCAGCCCAGGAAGCGGCGCGTGCCGTGGGCCTAGAATGGCCCGCCTTCAAGTTTCACGAGCAAGGCCCTCGCCTCGTGAGGCGCACGTCAGCAAGTACCCTCCGGAGCTCCCCAAGTCCCGACGCAAGGTACCTTCTGAAGCTGCCTCCGAGACCCCTCGCGGGGCGGATATGTATCCATGGAGATGCATAGCAACGAGAGAGGAGAGTGTGTCTACGTACTCTCGTAGACCGTAGGCGGAAGCGTTTATTAACGCAGTTGATGTAGTCGAATTTCTTTGCGATCCAACCGATCGAGTACCGAACGTACGACACCTCCGCGTTCAGCACACGTTCAGCTCGCTGACGTCCTCGCATTCTTGATCCAGCAAGACGGGCGAAGTAGTGGATGAGTTTCGACAGCACGACGGCGTGGTGACGGTGGCGGTGATGCTATCTCTGCAGGGTTTCGCCCAAGCACTCCGAAAATATGATCGAGGGACGAACCTGTGGAGGGGGTGCCGCACACGGCTAAGAGATTGTCGTCAGCTTTGTGTGGCATCCCCCCCACATATATATAGGTGGGGGGAAGAGGGGTGATTGCAGCTTGAACTACGTCCCCAAAGAGGAAGGGATGATGCAGCACATCGACGGTAGGTATTTTCCTCAGTGATGAGACCAAGGTTATGGAACCAGTAGGAGAATCACGCAACACTACGTAAACAGTACCTACACATAATGAACAAATACTTATGACCCGACGTGCTAAAGGGTTTGTCAATCCCTTTCGGGTTACGGTGCCAGAAATTGTCGAGTTGACGGGATAAAAATATGATAGACTGGATAAATTGATTACGAATAAATGCAAAATAAAATAAAGTGCAGTAAGGTATTTCTGGGGTTTTGGATTAATAGATCTGAAAATAAAAGTGAATAAAAATAGATCTCGAAGGTAAATATAATAAAGAAGAGATCCGGGGGCCGTATATTTCACTAGTGGCTTCTCTCGAGAAAAATAGCATACGGTGGGTAAACAAATTACTGTTGGGCAATTGATAGAACTTTAAATAATCATGATGATATTCAGGAAATGATCATTATATAGGCATCATGTCCAAAATTAGTAGACCGACTCCTACGTGCATCTACTACTATTACTCCATACATCGACCGCTATCCAGCATGCATCTAGTGTATTAAGTTCATGGAAAAATGGACTAGATAAACGGATTTTTACCTCCGGACCAATCCAGAGCTCCTCGTCATGTCCGTGATCTCATCCGGGACTCCGAACAACATTCGGTCACCAACTCATATAACACTATATCGTCAACGAACGTTAAGCATGCGGATCCTACGGGTTCGAGAACTATGTAGACATGACCGAGACACCTCTTCGGTCAATAACCAATAGCATAACATGGATGCCCATATTGGGTCCTACATATTCTATGAAGTTCTTTATCGGCCGATCCTTATGACAACATACATAATTCTCTTTGTCCATCGGTATGTTACTTGCCCGAGATTTGATCGTCGGTATCTTCATACCTAGTTCAATCTTGTTACCTGCAAGTCTCTTTACTCGTTCTGTAATACATAATCTTGTAACCAACTCCTTAGTCACTTTGCTTGCAAGGCTTCTTATGATGTGTATTATCGAGAGGGCCCAGAGATACCTCTCCGATACAGGGAGTGACAAATCCTAATCTCGATCTATGCCAACTCAACAAACACCTTCGAAGATACCTATAGAGCATCTTGATGATCACCCAGTTATGTTGTGACGTTTGATAGCACACAAGGTATTCCTCCATTATCCGAGAGTTGCATAATCTCATAGTCGAAGGAATATGTATTTGACATTAAGAAATCAAGAGAAATAAACCATCACATCATTCTCCCAATGATGTGATCTCGTTATCAAATGACAACACATGTCTATAGTTAGGAAACCTTAACCATCTTTGATCAACGAGCTAGTCTAGTAGAGGCTTACTAGAGACATGGTATTTGTTTATGTATTCACACATGTATTTAAGTTTCCGATTAATGCAATTCTAGCATGAATAATAAACATTTATCATGAATAAGGAAATATAAAATAACAACTTTATTATTGCCTCTAGGGCATATTTCCTTCAGTCTCCCACTTGCACTAGAGTCAATAATCTAGATTACATTGTAATGAATCTAACACCAATGGAGTCTTATTGTTGATCATGTTTTGCTCGCGGAAGAGGCTTAGTCAACGGGTCTGCTACATTCAGATCCGTATGTATTTTGCAAACTTATATGTCTCCATCCTTGACCTTTTCACGAATGGAGTTGAAGCGTCTCTTTAGGTGTGTGGTTCTCTTGTCAAACTTGGATTCCTTCGCTAAGGAAATTGCTCCAGTGTTGTCACAAAAGATTTTCATTGGACCCGATGCACTGGGTATTACACCCAGATCGGATATGAACTCCTTCATCCATCCTTCATGAAGCAACTATGTACTCCACTTCACGCGTAGATTCCGCCACGATGCTCTACTTGGAACTGTACCAACTGACAGATCCACCATTCAATATAAATATGTATCCAGTTTGTGACTTATTGTCATCCGCATTAGTGTTGAAGCTAGCATCGACATAACCATTTACGACGAGCTCTTCGTCACCTCCATAAACGAGAAACATATCCTTGGTCCTTTTCAGGTACTTCAGGATGTTCTTGACCACTGTCCAGTGATCCACTCCTGGATTGCTTTGGTACCTCCCTGCCAAACTTATGGCAAGGCACACATCAGGTCTGGTACACATCATAACATACATGATAGAACCTATGGCTGAGGCATAGGGAATGACTTTCATTTTCTCTCTATCTTCTGAAGTGGTCAGGCTTTGAGTCTGACTCAATTACACACCTTATAACACACGCAACAACCCTTTCTTTGACTGATTCATTTTGAACTTCTTCAAAACTTTGTCAAGGTATGTGCTTTGTGAAAGTCCTATCAAGCGTCTCAATCTATCCCTATAGATCTTGATGCCCAATATATAAGCAGCTTCACTGAGGTCTTTCATTGAAAAATTCTTATTCAAGTATCACTACTGGAAACAGAGAATTTGCCATCAGTCAGGTCTTTACCATCAAAGGTTCTACATCAAGCCTACCAAGTACGCATCATAAACTCTCAACTCTTGCACTTACATTATTTGGCATTTGCCTCTCGTTTTCCTCTCCTATAGTTCTAAGATATTTTCAGAAAAACACAAAAATATTTGCCTTTTTATTCACCCTTCTTCCGTTCGTCTTTTTCGTTTGCTTTCCGTTTGGTTGTGTGCTAGATTTCTCGGTTTGTCACAATGTCTCAAGAAAATACCAAGTTGTGTGACTTTTCCAACACTAATAATAATGATTTTATTAGTACTCCGATTGCTCCCGCCACTAGTGCGGAATCGTATGAAATTAATGCCGCTTTGTTGAATCTTGTTATGAAAGAATAATTT